AGCTGTTAGATAGTTTCATAATATGCTTAACGTTGTATTTGTCAGAATTCTTTGGGAGCTGTGTGTTCTGCTCTCAGTGACCAGCTCAACTGTAGTCACATGTTTACCCTGCTGAAGGGGACCAACTCCGCCTGTAGTCTTTATGTTTACTCTGCTAGAGGCGACCAGAAAAGCCCAAGTGCCAAGTGCCACGGAACAAAGTACCTGACCACAGAAACACCGGCCATTTACTGGTCGCCAAGAGTAACACTGTTAGATGTAGGTATATATAGGCCACTTCCAGGCACTTAGATCACCAATACAACATTAAAACATGGTATTATAGAAGCAAGCCAAAAAGAAAAATAACCAGCAAAAAATAATCTAAATGTAATCCAACACCACCTCTTATGGAGATAGGATCGGTTCGTTTAATATTACAAACAAGTGTGCCTAAAACATGTTTGATCCGAACAGAGGGGTACGAACATGTTGGATTTTTTTGGCCATTGCGCCTTTGATATTGGATTTTGTAGATTAGCTATAAAGAGAAAAATGATGTATCAATCATAAGCAGGTATAAATGTTTACGAAAGGTCGCTTGTTGTCATTCCTATTTCTCTATCAATCAATCACTACCACGCCAGGCAGAAATATAATCATTGCTCGTTTTAGTTCATTCATCTTTTTTCTTACATTCTTTGTTGATACAGTTAATGATAGTTATATTAAAAAAGCAGATTCAGATGTGGACCTTCTTCAGTCACGCATTGGCAGATATTCCGATGAGTCAGACAATTTGAATTAACCAGCTTCCCCTCGACATAACGTCACATTGAATTCAAAATGAGGCTTGAGTGAGTGAATGTGGTTTTACGCCGCTTTTAGCAATACCCCCTCAATATCACGACGGGGAACACCAGAAATGGGAATCGAACCCGGGTTTTCGGCGTGACGGCGAACACCTTAACCACTAGGCTACCCGACCGACTCTTGTGATAGAGAACGTAGTATTCTCCAAATGATATCGGTGTAAAGTTTAAGCGACATAACCTACATTACGACGATATGTAAAGGATATGTTCTAATCTCTCCATATAATCGCAGAACATAACTTGTCAGGAATGTCTCTTGAACTACCATATCGGCATCCCATACATGCTTACAGAAGATTGCCTGTGAAGATTCGAGTAAGAATTGGTCTTCGGCAACCCAGGCTTGTCGTCAGAGGACTCGCGGGATGCAGCTGAAATAGTGCTCAGTGAGGCGTTAAACAACAAACAAATAAACAGATATAGAAGGTAAAATCAACCTTTAAATGGCATATTCTGAATTATTCTCACGGCGCCGTCTATATTCAGACAGACAGGAACCGTATGACTCAGCATGTAGGCTCCGTATACATTTGACCGTCATAGGTTATATTTTTTAAATCATTATAGATAATATACATACATGAGTATGTGTGAGTGTGTGTCTGTTAGTGTGAGTGTGCGTTTATGCGATTGTCCCTGTGTGAGTGTGTGTGTGTATGTGAGTGTGTGTGTCTGTGTGTGTCTGTTTATGTGTGTATGTGTGAGTGTTTGAGTGAGTGTAAGTGTGTGTTGGTGTGTCTGTATGTGTATGTGTGTGAATGTGAGTGTGTATGTGTGTGTCTGTATGTGTATGTGTGTGTGTGCGTTTGTGAGTGTGTATGTATATATATAGAGAGAGAGAGAGGTTATCACGCGAGTGTGTTTGGGGATGGTAAATATCCTGCATTAGGAATAAACATTGTATTAAGCGAGCCTTGGCGAGCGAAATACAAAGTCTTTATTCCAAACACACAAGCGTGATAACCTCTTTATCATATAATGTCATTCTTCAATTCTGTAATGTCATTCTTCAATTCTGTGCTTGAAAATCGCTTCCCCTCACTCACAAACATTCCCTAAACATTGCGAGTTTTCCTCGAATGCACGCATTAATATTCATTACGTCACAGGGTAAGTGATGTGTCAGTCGGACAGTGACAGTAGCCAATATAGTTCCAACTGAAATCTGTTTCTTATACTGTGGCGAAGCAACATATACGCAAAACAACAATTGTTTTTACTTGCCTTTCGCGGCAATCCATCGGTCTGTACGCTAGAGTAACTGCCCTTTGTCAAAGGGAAGCTACTCTTACCCTAGTCTGAGACGTCACTGCCACGGCCAGACGTTGTTGACAGTCGGCCTGTTCTGTCATAACGTTAAGAAGTTCAGTCAGATGTACACACAGCGCCAAAACGAAACAAGGTAACAATTCATACATCTTTCGCCTAAATCCAACTATTTTTATTTGTGGAAAAGGTTTCAAGCCACCGAGGTCTAGGAGCACAGATATGGCTAGTGATCCCGCTTGGCTAGGCCGAGTGCCCTCGCAAAATTGTTTCGAAATTTATATCTCCAAAGTTGCCAAAACTTATAAAATACCTTAGTTACGTCGCAGTTCGACACTGATTTTCAGTATATTAGACTATTAGCAATTATCCCTGTAGTTTCTCCAGATTCACGATGGTTAATTCTGAGTCGATCGCCGAATGACAAGTGCGACGCCATGTTTGTTTATAAACACTGAAAGTAGTCCCTACTTGACCTTTGATATTTGCATCTCTATCCGCATATGACCCCAACGGGTATCGTTTTTATCCGTTGGCTTTATCCTGCCGAGAAACCTACCTATTATATGATAAATGTATAAATGTGTGTCTGTATGTGTATGTGTGTTTGTGAGTGTGTATATAACAGAGCTCCAGATAAGCTGCGTATCTGCGTAAAATACGCATCAGAAATGCAGAAATACGCAGTAAAATATCATCCAAGCGTATCGAATAAGCAACGAACATTACAGAAATGCTACAAAAATAAAACTTGTGCGTATCATCAAAATATTGTGAAGTAACCCTGCGTATTCGATTAGCAAATCAGCAACTTATTTTGAAATTATAAACGGGCATTCCGTCAACCTTGCCAAACTCCACGATGACAGTTACATCATGATCATTTGCCATCACACTTTCTTGTGGAAGTATCATGGTATTTTTGAGTCCTATAAAGCTCTCGAACCCACACGACACCAGTTTGCAGGGACTAGATAGAACAGTGTTTTTGAATATTTAACTTAAATACCCACATGTGTAAAAACTAGTGGGTAACAGAAATTTGAATACCCAGATAGAATTACTGATACCCAATGATTTTAAAATGCATGGGTAAAATACCCACAACACCAAAAGCTTATCTGGAGCTCTGAATATATGTATATATGTATATGTGTGTCTGTCTGTATGTGTATGTGTGTGTCCGTATGTGTATATGTGTGTGTGTGTGTGTGTGTGTGTGTGTGTGTGTCTGTGTGTGTCTGTGTGTGTGTGTGTGTGTGTGTGTGTGTGTGTGTGTGTGTGTGTGTGTGTGTGTGTGTGCATGTATGTCTCTCTGTGTATGACAAAACATACAAAAACTGAAAAACCTTTATGATTATCATCAACATAGTATATGAGGCACTCAGTATGTGCGACTGAACATAGCGACATCTGATTGGTATATTTTAAATAATCGTTATTGCACCCCGTGTATACAACAGAATATACAGCGGCCTTTTAAGGATATATTTCGAGTCATCTAGGCACCACATTTGAGCGACAGAATATATGGCGAACTTTAAAGGATATATATCTTCAAGGCACCCCATATATGCGACATGACATGATCAACGATCTACGCCATCGGGTTAGTATGGCACGACATTGCACCTGACCAACATGTAATTAATAATTATGAATTACCTCTTCATATCTGCACTACACACACACCTTACCTTTCTACAACAGCTCATAATGACATGTGAAGGACATATTTTGAATAAATGATGACATTAATGTAAAACTTAATATGTAGGAAATAATGCTTCCTCTAAATACATTTACGATGTTATATACATACATTTATATATAATATTTGACAATGTCACAGCTGTGTTCGGCTTGTCTCTGGTCACAACACCAAACTCCCTGGACAGAACAACAAGATATCATCCACACAGACACATTGTCGCTGTTAAGACAAACAAAGAAACATTATTGATCACATAAATAAGAAAAGTAATTGTTACTGACTGTTGGCAGTCAAGGTATATCTAGAGTATGGTATTTTCTCCACAGATTATATCCAACACAAAGCGCGGTACACCAGGCCGAGACCAAGCCGTGCGCTCTACCGATAATCTCGTTTACTGTATGAGAGCGAAAGGCTGGTACGTCCGCGCGTGTGGTATAGGCTTGCGAGGCGGATTTCACAAAATCTTTGCTCACCTTCAGTTTGCATTCAAAACAAAGATATCTACGCAATAATTTATACAATTATTTTTAAATATCATGTTTTATTAAACAAAATAAAATGGTCATGTTAAATTGCATAACTATCGTCATGAAAAAAGATAAACTTTAAAGAGCATTAATATAGATGTGTGCTGTCTGAATTTACATTAACAATATGGATTATTTGTTAGAGGTGATGCAGAAAAAAAGGGGAATTGTTTACAAAATGTCATATTTTTACCTGTTAAACACACACGAGTGTTCAAAAGAAAATGCAAGATCACTTCTCTTTCAATACGAAGACCGTAGTTCGAGCCGGTACATACTAAGCTCCGAAATAGCAATGCTCATTTGAAGGCTATTTTACGCTGTACTATAGATACCTTTACAGTGAGGTGACAATGAAACCACTTTGTCTTGTAGGATTTGAATAAAGGCATTCATGGGAATAATAGTCATGCTATAGGGTCGGGCTGCCTTGTGGCACGGTGGGCAGGGGATCAGTGTAACGTTCACATAGTACGTGACAATTCCTATTTATACCCCACTGCGAATAGCAATGCCTATAGTACCTTCATTGAAGAAAGCCCCGCATACTCAGTTGGCTATATTATGTAGTCCTTGAATAGTTGAACGCCGTACCTATACCCCGGCAGCGCTGCAAAGACTATGAGAGACCATATTCCTCACGTCTCAAGTAATAACGGTATTGGAGTATAATCCCTTTTTCTGTGTAACGCCTATTCCATGCGTATACCATACACGGAACGATTTATCAAGAAAGGCCCAAGTTTGCTGCGTTTAGCGAGGTAGCTAATTAGCAGTGTTTATTGATGAGGGTGGTTGCGATATGAATTGATTTGGAGAGAGTATATGAACATCTCTCGTGGAAGATTCATTCATTGACGGTCGAGTCGTTCACGAGCTTACCCGACATTCAGCGCGCGGCGACTAGTTGTAATTGACCCACGAGCTGTGGAGAGTGTGCGACGAGATGTGTGTGTGAACTAGCGAGGATACTGTAGAAAGAGAGCCCTGATTTGAGCGTCTGTGATTCTATGTAATTTAACATAGTCTCTCCTCACTGGTTTAAGCTGCAACTCACCTGGACTACATCATCAGGGCGTTATGTGACTGCATCGCTGACTGCGATCGGCTGCGACTCGGTCCAATCCTATAGTGCAGCTAGTGTTGGATGCCATGCTTACCACGCTTCCGGAATATACCGTAACTTTGTAAATAGAGCATTTACAAGTTTATCCTGATCTGCCTCTGTGTAGAATCGCTTATGTGAGTATTTGGAGAATTATCAAAATCTAAACATGGCTACTTGTCCTTTTAAAGAAGGTATAGAACGCGACAAGGCTAAATTGTTACAGCGTTCTCTTAGTGGACAAAAAGTTCAAGATGGACAACCGGAGAGACGGACTAGTAAGGAGACTACTTCTTCGGATGAGTCGCCAAGATCGAGGAAAATAAGCAACATATCAACTGCGTCCTCCGGAGGGTCAGACGAGACAGGGGACGGGTCAGGCGACCGGACAATCAGTTTAACTGGACTTATTGAGGGAGTAGGAACCCTCGTTATCCCAGCGGTAAGTCACTCAAACACTTCTACTCACCAATAACCCAACAAAGCGAGCAGATAATGCATACAAACGGCGTTTACACGGTGCTGGCGCTGGTCTCTTACTCGAGGTGATCGGTTTAACAGGTGTTTGTACTAAGTCTTCATACTGGACATAACACCTTTCTAACACTGCCTTTATCTATGGCTGTATGCGCGGCACATATATACAGACCATAAGATGATTGTGCAGAGATAATGTAGTTTTATTTATGTGTGAACCGTACTGGCGTCTCATAATAGATTACAAAATATCAAATACTTTGGCTTGAAACTTGCGGTTATAAAGGACACCGTAATTTATGTTTGTTTTTGTGTGTGTTAAATTTATTGTCCCCTGTTTACAATAACACAATTTCAAATACACACGATAGACAGCTGCATGAAAAATACCTTATGTTCGCCGAGAGAACATTTATTGGCCCTCGTAATGTATACCCCTTGAGTGGAAATATTTTTCGGATCTCAAGAGAGTTTGGGATTTCAGCTAAGGTTACATACTTGATAGGTCAGCGACGGTTGTTCTGATGTAACGAGCTGCTTGAAGTAACGACATCAGTGTTTGGTTTAGATTTATGACAGCCTGTTTGAGGTCGCGGATCAAGCTATGTCGTGTTCCTCCGTCATAAACAAAGACCCACGTCCTAATAACTCTCTCTTATGTTTTGTCGTGAATCTGGCCAAACAATGGCCATCGGCTTTGTGCTCTCATACAGGCAAACGCAAATTACACCTGCTAGTGTGACACACCACATCTCGCTGATCCTTACTCGACATGTTTTGATACATTTTCAGCGCTATTTGACTTTTACGTCCAATGAAATCTGTTTCGCTGAATAATCGAGACTGATTATTCTCTGTCTCTCTCATAATAATGGAGAGAGGTTTATAGGAATTCTTATTCTGGTTTGTTTTTAAAACTTATAAGACTTGTATATCGACTCAATAAACACATCGTTTACACTCAAGCAATACGTGTTTAAACACTACTCACACTAATATTATCATATCACAGTCATGTATGAGTATATTTTTCTTACCCGCTTTTGTACTGGATGTGTATAAGAAGGCCTTGGATACCTATTGATTCTGTAGAGAAATGTTATGCTTAAGAAATAGTCCGTGGAAAGAAAACGCTTTTACCCGCTAAACTACACATGCTTCAAACGCCATGGCTACTTTCCCTGTTGCGCGGGGGCAGCGGATCGATCCTATCGACTGTTACAATAGTGATTAGGCCCCAATGGCACCGGGGATGTCCTTGTAAAAAACAGCTGGTCCTTGTATGGACACGTTGATTCAGAAACGCTGACCTGCGTAATAGAAGTCAAAATGTGAAGATTTATTGTTTAACAGTATTTTCCTTCGCGGATAGTACCTGATAATAACCTCTTAACATAAAATGAAATAACCTTCTTAATCCGGACGATGCCGTTACGAGCAAATTTGTCCGGATTAACGAAACATTGTAACGAAAGTGTTCTTTGTATGCATGTAGACGTTCTAAATGGGAAAGCGGGGTGTCCGGATAAACGATGTCCTGATTAACGAAACATTGTAACGGAAGTGTCCTATGTGTGCACGTAGACGTTCTAAACAGGGAAGCGGGGTGTCCGGATAAACGATGTCCGGATTAATGACACGTAACGAAATAATGTCCTGTGTGTGCATGTAGACGCTCTGAACAGAAGAGTGCAGTGTCCAGATTAACTGATCAGGACTTGCACTAATAGCTGTCTATCCGTTCTATTTGACGTAATTGCACATAAAGGGATTCTGTTTGTGTCGTGACTTGAGTCTTTAAATATAGATGACACATTGTTTAAAGTAGAGACAGAATTTGTTCTACGCCATAGGCACAATATTACTGCAGAAGGGTATGTGGACCAGACAAGCAAGTGGTTGATAGCACGAGCATCAATCCACCCCATTGGGGTTCGATGAGACACAACCAGCAAGGTCACGACTGTTATAGCCCATCCACCATAGTGAGTTAGTCAGTTTGATTGTGCACCACTTTGCATTTCAGTTATGCTACGGAGTGTTGGCTTAATGTGGGAGGATAACCGAAGTAATTTAGGTCTCAGACGTTTATCATTATTGGTGAAACCCTTGAGCACGGGCATGGTGCTGACGAACCTAGAAACGATGCGGAAATCGAACCCACAATTAAAGGTTTCTGTGTACCCTAGGAACGCAACTCTGCACAGCGTATTGCGACGCCTTGGACGACTGGGCCGCCCCTGTTAACCCCTAGTCCTGCACCATGACCGTGGAATATATTTTTTTATGAAAAAATAATAATCTAGAAATGCATACAAAAGCAAGTCTAGCCAGCTCAAGCTAGCTCTATTCCACAATCAGCATAGGGAATTTTTTATATTTTTAGAGTCAAGAAGGATATTGTGTAATATAAGATTTCAGAGACTAAATGTTAGTCTGGTTAACCCCCTGTACGTCGAATTATAGTAATAACCACACATAGCAATCAAATGATAAGAGCCGTAAGGTGCCTAGTGGTTAAAGTGTTAACTCGTCATGCCGAAACAGGGTTCGATTCCCACATTGATACAATGCGTAAATCCCATTTCTGGAGTCCACTAGCCGTGATATTGTTGATATATTGATAAATGCGGTCTAAAAATACTCACTTTATCAATCAGTCATTAAAAATACATGTTGGTGTTCGGGGATTGTGGGATATTTCCAAATAGAGGTATTTCCATGCTGGTGTTCACGTAACAAGTCCCTTGTCTGTGGTAATCTAGGTTCTTCCTTGTCGAGATCCGGTAATTTCGTTATGAACGTATGCATGAGCAGATCCCAGCTACAATCTATAACAATTATCGAAATGTTCTTCCGATCAAACCTGCTGGTCAGATAATTCCTCGAACTCCCAGACAGGGCTGCCATGTTGTATCTAACCAGATCCCAGCTCCTTACACGGGTGTCCATGCCGATCAATGACGCGAAATGAGGCCGTATATTGCTCGTGTTCATTTCTTTGTCCGTGTCCGGCCACAGTGGCTGTGATCAGTGTCCCATGATTGCCACAGTGAACGACATCGATGCAGTCACACGACATCGTCAATAAACGCTCATATTGCATGGGCTTGAACTATATTGACTTTCGTTAAGAGGTGTTTTTTTTATTGGAAAAGTGAAAGGGTCAAAGAAGCTAATGGCCTATGCGCCATTGCTTCTGTACAGGTGCACACGGTCCTGTGTTTGTCCTGGCTGATGAAGGTGTCGATACGGCGACAGAACAACACGTAATGAACTACATCACTGATGTATTAGTTTCATTAACAGTGACTATGAGACCACAATTTAATATCCTAGGTATGATAGCTATGATATTTCTTAGCACAAATCATTTTTTCGGTCACTGCTTCAAGTGAAGAAAAGGAAAAAGTGAACATGTTTTGTCACTGCAAGTTATATTTATTCAAAAACATCCCGTTTTTCCGGATACCAAATGTGAGCCCCTTAACTATCAATAGGACGATGCAAGTGTTGATATTCTGCTTCAAAATGGCCCCTGGAAGGAACGTACGGAAGCCTTTTAGGGCCAATTGTTTTTTTAATTTTTTTCGATACTTTCTTGAAATTTAAAGAAACTAAGTTGAAATTTAAAGATATTAAGTTGGAATTTAAAGATATTATCGAAAAAAAACCAAAAAAACAAATGGCCTTAAAAGGCTTCCGTAGGAACGTATGAAGGAAATGTATCACTAGACTGTGACACTTCACACAGTCTCTTCTCCGGATACCGTACCTCCCGGGGTCACAGTAGAACACAAATACATAAGTATATCTTCTTCCTTGTTTCGTAAAATCTAAACGTGTTAACCCAGACGATTAAAACGAAGGTGTTCGGGTTACTGAGTGTCCATTGTGTCTGTGAGAACTCCTCAATTGACGTTCCTACAATGCAGTGAAATCAGTCTCAACACGAGATGTTCCTTCACGCTTCAGTTTGTTAACTGTTTGGCTCAAACATTGAGTTTGAAGTAGCGCACGGTGAGATGGGCTGAGGTTGCTGCCAGAAGACATGTCCATTGATTAGCTTGGTGTGGGAGACTCTTCTAGATGTGTGCTTAAACTGGCAAACACCTGGTGTGATGGGAGATAACGTGTCGTAAATATCCTTCCATGACGACAGGGAGACGGGTCGGGGATGTGGTATTGTGACAGCAGGGAGACGTGTAGAGAAGATGATCTTGTGACGGCAGGGATACGTGTAGAGAAGATGATCTTGTGACAGCAGGGAGACGTGTAGAGAAGATGATCTTGTGACGGCAGGGAGACGTGTAGAGAAGATGATCTTGTGACGGCAGGGAGACGTGTAGAGAAGATGATCTTGTGACGGCAGGGAGACGTGTAGAGAAGATGATCTTGTGACGGCAGGGAGACGTGTAGAGAAGATGATCTTGTGACGGCAGGGAGACGAGTCGGAAATATGATTTTGTGACGGCAGGGAGGCGTGTAGAGAAGATGATCTTGTGACGGCAGGGAGACGAGTCGGAAATATGATTTTGTGACGGCAGGGAGGCGTGTAGAGAAGATGATCTTGTGACGGCAGGGAGACGTGTAGAGTAGATGATCTTGTGACGGCAGGGAGGCGTGTAGAGAAGATGATCTTGTGACGGCAGGGAGACGTGTAGAGAAGATGATCTTGTGACGGCAGGGAGACGTGTAGAGAAGATGATCTTGTGACGGCAGGGAGACAAACAAGGATATGATCTTGTGACGGCGGGGAGACAAACAAGAACATGACCCTGTGACGGCAGGGAGACGAGCAAGAATATGATCTTGTGACGGCAGGGAGACGAGCAAGAATATGATCTTATGACGGCAGGGAGACGAGCAAGGATATGATCTTATGACGGCAGGGAGACAAGCAAGGATATGATCTTGTGACGGCAGGGAGACAAGCAAGGATATGACGGCAGGGAGACAAGCAAG